TACTCATGGAAACAGGTGCACCATGGTTTTGGCTTGGAGCATGTAGTCCGTTTGCCCTATAGCTTTATAAGCTAATATTCTTTCTTAATATTCTCAGGTGGATGATTGCCTCCTTGAAGTTACGGTAGGAATTTGCAGGGCCCTGAAATCTTCTAACAAGTTTGCAATGTCTAATAATACTTGTTTTATAAAATTCAGAAGATAATGAGATTGTATCTTTCTTTTAACTGTTCAGAAGAAGCTTTTGTTACTGTTAATTTTACCTTCTTGATTTACTAGAGATGATAACATCTAAATATTCAAGTGCATCTTAAGAGTAGAGGAATAATTTGTAACTGTAAATCAGCTGAGGGTATTTTTGAGCCTCCTGAATAGAATTCCAGCTCAGTGTTGGCTAGGCTTCATAAACTAGAATTGTTTTGGGAAGGAAGAAATATTCATTAATTGCCAAGAACTGAAATAAAAAAAGATAGTTCCACTGTCAACACAGGCTGGTTTGAAACTGGTCACCCGTGAAGAAGAGTTTTCTAATTCATGAGGAATCCTTGTAGCCACACGGTGTATATCTTTCTTTCATCTGTAGGATTTGATTGTGGCCTTAGATAACATTTAGCAGGTGCTTTTGTTTGTGTCTTTCAGCCAAAAATGAGCAATATCTTATTGCACTGACTTCTGACTTTTTCAGTCCTTAATCCATTTTTTCTTGTATTATTCCAGTGCTTTTTTTAGCATTAAGGATAGAATTAAATTTGTGGTATTTTATTCTGTGTTGCTTTCCTTTTTTTCTGAGAATATTACTGTCTTTGAGAGTATTACCAGGGGGAGAGATGTTACCTCCCGTCTTGCGCTAACCCGTGAGCCACGCAGGGTTGTGCAGTAGTACCAGGGTTTATGGATGCAGTAGAAAGCAGTCGCTGAGGAGAGAATTGATGGCGCTTGCTTCAGAGGTGTCTGTGCTGGAGGCTGTGGGGCAAGGGTTTGCTGTGAGAGCTGGAAGATGCAGACATACATGAGTAGACGTGACAGGCTGCCCAGCCTAGTGCCGCGATCATACATGTCACAGAGCTGTCAGTTCATCCGGTGAGAAGTAACAGCACAGCCAAAGGCGAGACAGGCGGGATGTATCGGTGTGGGTGATATTAAAGCAATCCCTGTGGCCGTCCTTTTTGTCTTCTGCATCCGTGCAGCTTGCTCCTCTTCTGGAGGTCTGTCTTCCTCTTTAGAAGCGTTTGTAATTTGGGAAGCTTAGGAGATGGGTGTTCTTGTTTGCAAATGATCACAATGGACATTCTTCATCCTCAGTTTATTTCTGAGTCGTGCTTGTGTCTAAGCTGTGGGAGTGAATTGAATGTGCCATCCAAGCTTATCCATTCTCAGAGCTCTTTTCCACAATATATTACCCTCATGGAAACTGTTTCCTGTTTTCTGCTCGTCTCTGTTTCCTCCTACTTCTACTTTTCTGGGGCTGGCCACTTCAGTTTTTCTCCATACGTAGCCTTGTTAACATTAGAACAGGAGGCGCTTGGTTTTTTTTTTTGCTTTGTAATGTCTGTGCCAATCTTCCTGTGATTTTCTACCTTGTCAATTCTCCATCTTTTTTGTCTGATCTTGCTCATAGTGTCCTACATGCCTGAAATACACCTCTTGGTGCTTGTGTCTCTGCACATACGTTCCTCAGGCGAGTCAAAACTATTTTAGGATGCAGTGGGACTGAAAAACGCTATACGGTTGAGGGCCCAAAATCTGAGTTATGAGCAGGTGACTCCTGTGCCAAGGCTGCGTCCCGCAGCTGGCAGAGGGGCTGTGAGCTGAGTCCTGGGTGTGGGAGCACATGAACTGCCGGAGATCTGGGCATTTGCTGGGACTTAGCTGTGTGCCTAGCTCAACACTGTTCAGCAGTGAAGGGATGGTACCCACGGGCATCGTCCTTACGCGTCGCTGAGCTATGCCTGGAAATCATCCTACGCCCTGCTTTGGCTAGGGGTAGGAACTTTACTTCCAAGGACTTTACAGTGAATGACTTGGCTGTTGGTCATGCATGGTCTCTGGTTGATATATATTTTCCCGGCATTGATGGGGTTTAGAGCTTTGTTATTACAGGGTTTTGTTATTGAGAAGTGTGTCAGAAAAGGCACTGTCTTCAGTGATGTTGTCAGAAATACGTACATCTTGAAGGACCTAGTGTTCAGTTAGTTCAGAAGTTAGGAGTTGAAGGTACTAATTGTTTCTAAGATGAGTTTAGACCTGGATTGTAAATGTAAGTAGGGAATTAAAAATCTGCAGAACCAGAGGTTGTCTTGGATATTTTAGGGAAGACTTTCAGTTTACACCTCCACCAGCTCTTCAACAATGCAGGATTGAAACTCTGTTCATGTTTGTTGATCATTTTGTTGAGGCTTTCTTGTGTCTGGACACCATTGGCTCAAGCCAGTCATGGGTCCTTTCACATTTCTCCCAGAAATACTGGGACTACTACAGAGGAAGTCTAGAGGTTATTCACAGAAGACTCTTGGCATCTAGTGGGGGCAGAGTGTGATGAGAGTGAAACCGAAAGAGCAAGAAACAATCACACCAACTGCAGTCCAGTGTGAAATTTTCACTGAGGAAACACAATTTGTAGGAGGAGGCTACTGTGTGGTTGTAGTAAAAGTATGCGCTTGAGGAACAACTGCGTTGATGGGATTTCATTTTATTTCTTATAAAATGAAGGATATCTCCTTTCTACCTTTAATATAGGAATAGAAAGCCAGGTTTCGGCTCAATTACTGCTTTCACGTAAGTTGTAAGTATTTGGTAACAAATTGTATTTAGAAGGATGTTGGTCATTGCATTAAAATGTTGCATCCACCAGCTCTGGTATGTTTGTACGTTGACTGATCTGTGCGGAGAGAACTACCATGGGAAGTAGTGGGGAGGACTCTTCAATGTTCTGCTGATAAACGGCTGTTTCTGACCTGTCTTCTGCCACCACTCACTTGTGTGGCCATGGCTAAGTCATGTTGCTTTTTGGAGCTTCAATTTGTTCATCTTTAAAACAGACAATTAAGGTGAATTGAGATGCAAATTGACCCTGTGCTGCAGCACCTATCCAATAAGTTGGCTTTGGGGACCCAGCAACAGATTTGCTTCAGCACATGGCTTCCATTCTTTCCCCCAACCACATAAATCTTTGATTACTTAGTGGAAGCAGTGGCCCCACCTTCCTTGACCTTGGATCTTTTTTCCTTCCCGATCAGGAAGTGATCAGGAAGATCACTTATTTTTCCAGTAGTTTGCTCTTAGTACAGACTGATGCAAGGTGGTGAACTAGTTGAACTGTGAAGAGTGTTTATAGTGTTGATGTACGTAGTTGCCATGCTACCCTTACATGAAAAAAAAATCCTCTCTAGTTAATTGTTCTTAATTTAGAAGTAATAAACAGGCTGCATCGTTGTGAACAACTCTGTAACTGAAATTATACTAGCTGGAGCAGGAAGGGTGCAATAATGTCGAGAGCTGCCAGAGCTATGAGCCACCTGCTTTTTTATATGCATCACTTTTATCATGTGGAATCAGACCTATAAATTGACTGACTGAGCACTGGAACAGGTTGCCCAGAGGGGTTGTGGATTTCCAGTCCAAGGAGATACTGAAAAGCCATCTGGGCATAGTTCTGGGCAGCTGGCTCTAGGTGGTCCTGCTCGAGCAGGAGAGTTGGGTCTCCAGAGGTCCCTTCCAATCTCAGCTGTTCTGTGATTCTGAAATTCAGAAAAATGTATCCCGAGTGATGAGCTTGTGTTTGCAGGGAGAAAACTGTAGTGCTGATTTGTTTTCCTTCCTGTCTGTCTCCTGCCAGTATGCCTTTAAATGAAAGCCCCAGTTGTGCCATCTGCTGTGGCTCAAGGACTTCTCAGATACAGCTTTGCAGGTCTTTATGGTCTAAAGATTGTCATGCAGGAGAGCTTTCGTGGCTGCTAGCTGGAGAACCCTGTAGGCTGAATGGCATTTTCCTGCTCGCTCACTGATCTGGAAGTGAAGGAAAGCTGCCACAGCTTTAATGGAAAGTACTGCACAGTTAGGAGAAAATTGACTGCCCCTTATGTTGCTTTGCTGTCTGCTGGTTTGTGAATCGTAATGCTTTTCATTAAAAAAAGAAGTGGGGGAGGGGAAGGTGTCAGGTCTCTGTGGGTCCCAGATCATTAGCAGGATCAATTCCTTTTTCACTGCAGAGATCAGAGGCTACAGTCTTGCGTTGCCAGTCCTTCAGCTGCAAACAACGCAAAAGCGGAAGAGCTGGTGTGTGGCTGCCTGAGTTGCTGTGCCTGGATTTTTGTTGCGATAGAAAAATTCTTCCCTCGCTTTGGAGTCTGAAATGAATTCAGTCCCTTGCAGGGTAGGGTCAGAACAGTCTCATCAGCGCCAGTGTCAGAAATGTTAAATCCCTCAACTTGGGGCTTGCAGTGGAAAAGATTTTTCGGTTGCGTCAGGAAGTTGATAATAGGGTACTAAACTTTCGCCTCTGAAGGAGGACTGGTAATAATTTGAAATTGTTGGCATCTGAAGATGTATGCTCTGGTGCTGGTGTGACAGAATTTTGATGTGACTCAGTCCAGTTCCACAGCCCTAGCCCACCACCACTGCTGACATGATTTGCAACCCTACTGGAGGTGCCAGTAGATACATCTGAGAGCCAAGCGTATTGAACAGACTGAATTTACTTCTTAGTCATGGATGTGGTTGAGTCACAAGCTTACGTGTTCTCAGTAAACACTGTAACTGTTCTGTGAATAAATAGAAGAACCCGATTTACAGAGGTTGTAAGACTGTACATCAGAAAATGCCGTTCTTCTGCTATGACTAGGCTTCAAATGTGGCTGCGAGCATACCGTTTAACCTTTCACTGCTTTAACCTCTCATCCCCTGCAGAATGAGGTTCATGGGGTTGTTAAAATTTGATTATAAACTGCTCTGTAATGCTACGTAGCACGAGGCATTCTCAGTTCTTTGCTTTCCCTCTCTAGGGTGGATACATGCGGTTTATACTCCAGTAGATTCTCTGGTGTTTGGTGGAAATATCCTGCATAGCTTTAATGTTCCCATGCAGCTTCGCATCTATGAAATTGAGGACAGAACAAGGGTAAGGATACTTGATTCTCTTTTTAACTGAACAGTTCTTTGTGACTATGATCTGTCATAGTCTCTCCCTCATATTCCCTTCTGACAAACAAGAACTGACGAGATCTCCGTGTCGGAGTCATTGGAACAAGAGGTAAATGTGAAGTAATGAGACTTTCAAATGTTGGCTGTTTTTAGTGGGATTTACTCATCTGTTTTTCCCTGCCTCCCACAGACGCGTCCCTTCTGTGTCTTTTGTCTGCCTTTTAAACTTTCATAAACACCTTCCCTTTCGCACAAAAGCATATTGCGCTTTACAGAGCTTTGTACCAGTACATCTGGTAACTCCCTGCTTATCATCTCTCTGTGCACACCTGGAATGGATACCCAAGCGTGGAGCGTGCATGGGACTAGGATGGTTCTGCTGCCCACAGCTGAACTGAGCAAGCTGCACAGAAGTTGCATATGAAAGGACATCTATACTTTGCAGGATTTTCTTCTATGACTCAAGAATTCCTTGGGGCAAAGAGAGTCTGGGGTGGGACGTTAATCTGAACACTGTGATATTCATCTGGCTGTTCTATCTACCTAATGGAAGGAGTGTTACTTCTTGGAGGAGGTTGCTCTGCAGCCTCTTTGGGCGTGAAGATTTTGCCCTTGATTAATGAACGGGTCACCTAGTCATCATATACTTTGTAGTTTCATAAAGTAGCAGAATCTGAAGGAAATGCCACTGTTTTAGTAGGCTAATAAATCGTAGAATGGTTTGGGTTGGTAGGGACTTCAGAGATCATCTTGTTCCAACCCCACTGCTGTGGGCAGGGACCCCTTCCACCAGCCCAGGTTGCTCCAAGCTCCGTCCATCCTGGCCTTGAGCACTGCCAGGGAGGCAGCAGCCACAGCTTCTCTGGGCAGCCTGTGCCAGTGTTCCAAATAGAAGAATTTCTTCCTTATATCTGATCTAAATCTCCCCTCTTTCAGTCTAAAGCCATCACCCCTCGTTCTGTCCCTACAGGCCCTTGTCCAAGCCCCTCTCCAGCTCTCTCGCAGCCCCTCCAGGCACTGGCAGCTGCTCTAAGGTCTCCCCGCAGCCTTCTCTTCTCCAGGCTGAACAGCCCCAGCTCTCCCAGCGTCTCCTCCCAGCAGAGGGGTTCCAGCCCTCGGATCATTGCTGTGGCTCCTCTGGCCCCGCTCCAGCAGCTCCAGCTATGTCCTGTGCTGAGGGTTCCAGAGCTGGACGCAGAACTCCCGGGGGGTCTCAGCAGAGCGGGGCAGAGGGGCAGAATCCCCCCCCTCGCCCTCCTGCCCACGCTGCTGGGGGTGCAGCCCAGGGGATGGTTGGGTTTCTTTGCTGTGAGTGCACATTGCTGGGTCATGTTGAGCTTCTGGTCACCCAGTACCTCCAACCCCTTCTCCTCAGGGCTGCTCGCAACCCATTCTCCGCCCAGCCTGGGTTTGTGCTTGGAGTTGCCCTGGCCCATGTGCAGGACCTTGCCGTTGACCTTGTTGAACCCATGAGGCTGGCACAGGCCCAGCTCTCCAGCCTGTCCAGATCCCCCTGGATGGCATCCCTTCCCTCCCATGTGTGACTGCACCATGCCAGCTCAGTGTTGTCAGCAACGCTGCTGAGGGTGCCCTCCACCCCACTGTCTGTGTCGCTGACAAAGATGTTAAACGTCGCTGGTCCCAGTACTGACTGCTGAGGAACACCACTTGTCACTGGTCTCCACTTGGACATGGAGCTGTTGACCACAACTCTTTGAGTGTGACCATCCGTCAATTCCTTATCCACTGAGTGGTCCATAAATAAACTGTGCAAGGCAACTGTAGCGTTTCAGTGAGAAGATGGACCAGTGGAACGTACAAATTCAGAGGGCGACTTTTTGTGGCTGGCTGTTTTGGAGGCATTGCATTGAGACAGTGCTGGTAGACCTCTGGCACGGGTGCCAGGTGTGGTGTTCATGGAGACTTGGACTGGCAAAACAGCAGGACATTGCGGTTCTGCACCAAAGAGTCTTAACATGGTATGTCGCAGTCATCAGTACAGTTCACTGTTGTCATCGCTACAAGAGGGCACAATTCTGGCTCCAGGGAGGCTTTTAGCCTGAATTGCTCTCTCTGCAGTGGAAGTGCATAGGCCTGAAATAAATACGTGTTGTTTTGAAATGCATCTTTGACTTGGTGAGAGCAAGGGTGTCCTCCCCCAGCCTCTCTCTGCCAGTGTTGCGTTAGGAGGGGACTGCTCCCTTACTTGTCAGGGGGTACAGGGCCTGGTAGTCTTCACATTGCAGAACAGCGATGGATGGGAGCAGTTGGTTTCCTGGAGTGATTTTGATGAAGAGTGAATATTAAGCAGCAAAATGAATTCTTAGTGGAAGAGAAATGAAGACAAAAGCTGAAATTCAGGGGAGTTGGAACAGAGGGAATGTAGCAGAGAGCAGAATTGGAGGCAGAGACCAGAGTGGAGTTCAGCCTGGCTTTGAAAGGTGTCCCAAGGCAAGAATGTCTTAAGAAAGAGTAAAGGGACTTGGACAGGAAGAAGTTATGATGGTAGAAGCAGGAAGGGGCTCGCTCTGGCTGGACAAAGGCACTGGGCACAGGAAGGTTTTCAGAGTGACTATAAATAAGAACCAGCAATATGTGCCAGCTATATGTGCTGCGGGTGCTCAACGGGAGGCTGTGTTGGTGCCAGGAAGGGTGCTAGCACAGGCAGATCGCATGGAGAATGGAGAAGTGAGGACTGGGAGGAAGGATCGATGCCAGAAAGAAGTTATTCCCATTGGTGTCTATGGGGAGGGTGGGATGGAAACACTCTTTTTCATGAAGTAGTAGAAGAGCTGACATTTTGTTCTCACAGGACTTGAGCAACCCAAGATCACACACCTTGTGTTGGAACTGCTCAGCAGTGCTTCATCTCAGAGCCTTCTCCTTGGGCAGCTGGGTGCAGCTTTGACCTCCTAAGCTTCTATACCAGGAGGCAGATTTCCCTGTAGCGGTCAGGTATTTTGGTAACTTTTAGGAGCTTACCAGGCAGTTACAGTGAAATGGCTTTGAAAAGTCACTAGCATCTTGATCCCATGGGAAGGTTCTGAGAGTCGGGTATCTGCCTCTTGGAAAATGTCTGGTCAGGGGTTTTTTGGAAAGGGATGCTGGAACATTTGGACGTCCCAAATCAGACCTTTACTCTTGTCAGTTTTGGTTTAGATTTTCTTCAGTCTGTGTAGTTCTTTATAATTTTCCCACCAAAAATACGTAAGTGTTCTAAAAAAGACTGATGAAAGACAACAGCCCAGAATTTCCACAACTTCGTAGAAGCAGTTTCAGTGCTTGCGTGTTGCTGTGTGCTAGCAGTGTGTTACGCACAGCCTGTACCTGTGTTCACAAACTTGAGCTCGTAGGCAGCCGTACAATAACAAAGCTGTGTGAACAGTCGAAGAATAGCAAGAATTTCTAGACAGAAACAAAATATAAGCCGTGCAACTAAGGCGTAGAGAAGTTTGATAAAAAGCAGGAAAATCAATACTGTAATTTAGAAATAATAACACGCACACCTTCCCCCTCACCCCCCATCCTAAAAATATTATGCAGGAATCTTGAAGGGGTAAATGTTTTCAGACTAGGATTCCACTGTCTACTACTTTATTTTCCAAACAAATTTTGTCATTTCTTTGTTCGCATAATTCTGTTTGTACACTGGTTAGTATAGCAGACTCGGTACAGTGTGTAGTTCACACAAATTTGCCAGTGTGAACTTCCTGCAAATGAGTTTCTCATCAGTATTGATCTTTCCATTGTGTATAGCACAGAAGCAAATTACATTATGTGATTGACGAAGTAATGTGCCACACTCAAATCAAAGTGTAATACAGGTGTGTTTCCCCTCTTCATTTTGCACAGAGCAGTTTTATGGAGGTTTCGCTGTGTTTAAACCTGCTATATAATGCTTAATCATCTTTGATTGCTGATATTCAAAGTCATTTTTATGCTAGGTGTAGTTGTTATTGTCTTAGCAGCTCAGACAAGAATAAATACATGGTTGAAACGGTAATGCTGATTTACAGCCTGATAAAATTGCCTAGTTTATATACTTGTCATGCTTATTCTAGCTTAATTTCTTATATCCCTGGGAGACTTTTTAAGAGGGTTATAGCCATTTAAAAATAGTTTTAAGGAGCAATAAAAAACATGTCTATTGTTGGAACCAGCTCCTAATGTGCAATTGAGGTAAACAAATATTCTCCAGCCTTACAGTTTGTAGAGACTCTCATTTTGCAGCCTGGCTTTCCTAGAGGCCAATTAACAGCTAGTCAAATAGGCCAAGCTGTTTAGCTCTCTGCTAGACCAGCTTCAAGAACCGCAGAGCAGGCTGCCGTGTGGCCATTCATCATCTTGGCATAGGGGTGTTACAACACTGTGTTACCGAAGAGGGGGAATGTGTCAGACTTACTCCCAACCCATCTAAATTTCACTGTGTTAAAATACCTGAACGTGGACAGAGCCAAAAGCACTCAAAATATACACGTAAGGTGGTCACTCACAGATGGTAGTGTTTGCTACTGATTTTGTTTTCTGGAATGTAAGAGAGTGTTTTAAGTGGCTAGATTAATTATTTTGTAAATAATCATAAATTGTTTTTCAGTATTGTGATTAGATTGATTCAACACAAGTGGAGTGTGCAGTGATTTTAATGGACGCTGTGGAAGAGACTAATACTTTCCTAAGGAAAATGTGTGCCTAACATGCTTAGGGTTTTTGTTTTGTTTTTGGAGGGGGATAGAAGTCTCTCAAATAATTTCACTTTGAACTGAAGAAATGGATCATATTCCAGAGAGAATTTTTCTTGCTGTACAGGAATAATTAAAAAATTTATTCAGTGGATTGTAAATTATTAATCACAGAAGTTAGAGCTGGAAATGCCTATTAGATGATCTGGTGTATTTCCCTGCTGGTGGGGGATTTAGTCCTCTGGCAGTGTCTGTATCAGATATTATGCTTTAAATTGATCACAGAACACTTCTAATTTCTTCCTTCCTTTCTTTCTTTTATTCCTCCTCCCCATAAGAGTTCATTTTACCATAAACGTGCAATGGAAAAAGTGTGGACACACACATAATGCAGTTCACGTCCATTATAATTAATAAATATCCAAGGATATCATAAGGAACGTGCTACTCTACTTCTCCATAAGGCAAAGTTTAGAAGATTTTTTAAAGCACTGTTAGACTTCCTTTACTGGCGAAAGGCACTGTAGATCTTTGCGTGGTATCTCTTGCTACATATGGTAGCTCTTACTTCTGAAGGTCTGTAAAAGCAGAGCCGTCTTGGGCAAAGAGTGAATTGCAGAGGCATGGAGGGATTTGCTGTGGGTTGGAACAGTGGTAGTGAGGCAATTAGGAACTCAAATTGAATATTAAAGATTGATATACATAATGGGAGCACTGCATGCATTACTGCCTTGTCTTTCACATTGAATTAACATTGGTAACAACTAAATTTGGTGAAGCTCAGAGTCTGTCAACAAATGTTGAGCAATGATGTCTTTAATATTCCCAGGCATGTGGCTGAAAACCTTTTGAAGGCTGAGGGGTGGAAGGCGCCTTCCTGTTTGTAAGTCAATTCTTTGCAAATTTTGTTTCCTGCAGTGCTCTCTTGGAAAAATTTGAGTTCCTTTATTAGCATATATTTTAGCATGGCTAATTTCCCCTGTGTTCTGTAATAGTGATAAGTGACTTGATCTCTTCTTTATGACAAATAACTAAACCAAAGGAAAAATTTTCTCCAGTGCAAAAAGGCCCTGGGGTTAAATGTTCTCACATTTAGGGGGATGTTGTTTGGTTTTTGCTTTTTTCCCCTCCCCCCCCCTTCTTTTTTTGGCATGTGTACCGTGCAACAGACAACACAGGGAGACATTTGGAAAGGTGCAGCATCACTGGATGCATGACCCGTAGCACCGTGCCGTTCAGATTTGCCAGCTACGTTTGTGTTGAATTTCAGAGGTCATAATTTTGGGGAATTGCCATGGAGTATTTAAATCCTACACCATGATACATTTAACGGGACAACACAGTATATTTTCCTTTTGTTACATTTTGTTTTACTGCTCAAAGTGTTTGCATTTCCTGTGCCCTGGGAACAGAGGCAAGCTCTTTGACTGTCCACCTTGGAGACAGTTTTCAAACATGGGCGTCCTAGTAAGTCATCGATGTGCTCAATGCTTGAGTCACCCCGCAGGTGTTTCAACAGTGCCTGCTTTGCAGAGCTGGGTCTGAGTTTCCAGGTGCTGGATTAGTGGTTCTGCTTAGACTTTACTGTTTTTTGGGTGATCTGGGGTGGGGTGGTGGTTTGGTTTTGTTTTTTTTAAAAAGGGCTTTCTCAGATAATGCTCCTCTCTGGTGCAGCCCAGCTTTTAGTTAAAGGTGGGTGGACACCTCTTGACTAGGTGAGCGGTTGATATGCTTAGCATATCTTAAAGCAGCTCCTATAATCCCAGTGTAATGCATGCATGCCTGCAAAATGCAGATTTCTGTGCCACCAGGAGAAAGAAGTGTACAGTGTAAGTACAAGTGCGTGCAAGATGCATGGCATCCATTTATAACAGATCGCAATGCATATACATATGTTCTTGCATTTTAGGAGTTCCCCAGATTCTTCCTTGGTACAGTGATGTCCCATAGACAGAAAGCTATGTTGGAAAGGAAGGAAATCCACTTTGTTTTCTTTTGAATCTGAAATAATCTCACAAATACATAGTGTTGGAGAAATAACTTTTTGTGTGAGAACAACAGGTCTGAGATGTAAGGAAAAGTGCACAGCTTGACAGGATCTTTTGTCAAAACTCTGCTTTTCTGTTCTGTTTGTAGCAAAAGCTAAGTTGCTACCAAAATATCAAGTGTAAATTGTGTAAGAGATTTTTACTTTTAGTATGTATTTATCAATAATGAAGAATTTATTTGATCATTTGTTTAATCGAATTGTTATAAAGACCATTATCGAAAAAGATGTAGTTCCTGCTTGACTCATTTTAGATAGTGCTGCCATTTTGATAAAAATCATGTGATAGTGTTTAGGAAATTAAAAAAAACCCCACCTTTATTTTAACTTAAATTTTAGTGGCTAACATCTGTATGTGACCACCCTATGTTTGTACAGTAGGTAAATAGTACTGTAGGGGCCATCCATCAGTTTTGTGATTTCACAGGAACACAAACCCCTTCCTCTCCCACCACCCCAAGAGGATACAAATTAGTGAACCAAGAAACGATGCTCTCATGGCAGGCAGGCAGGCAGGCAGGCTCCTCATTTGGTATGCTGAAGGCATACGTCTTGCTCGGCTCCCACCCTCCCTCCCCTCCCCCTCCCGCATACCGTTTGTGCTCTTGATAACACGATGAGAATGATGACCGACCCTTGTGCTGCAAACTTCTCTCCCTTCCCCATGGGCTGACAGTCTCGATCTTGCTTTCAGGTGCATGCCAAATTCCGTTATCCTTTCTACTATGAAATGTGCTGGTATGTTCTGGAGAGATACGTGTCCTGTGTGACCCAGCGCTGCCACCTCAGCAGAGAGTACCAGAAAGAATCAATGTTAATTGGTGAGTGAATGCTTCGAGTGTATATTCAGAACTGATGCTACCACCCTAGGCTAGTTACTGCCTTGGTTTCTGCAAAGCAGATTATAGAAGGAGTTGGAGAACTGTAGAAATTCAAACGAACTGTTTCTTTATTTTGGGGTGGGGAAGGTTTTGACTCTTAAGCATTTCCATGAAGTGCCAGCCTACTCTGAATTATATTTATTGAGCATTCCCTTAGCAAGTGGATCCCAGAAAAATAAATTTTTGGATGCGTTTATTCCTTGGTTTCAGTAATGTTTGTGTTGAGACGGTCTGCCAAGCAGTTGAGGATTTACTGCCATGTTTGGCACAGTACCTTAGTAGCCAGAAATGTGTGCATTGCAAATGTGCTCTGGTGGGATGGATATTTAGTCCTTTTATAGAGCATCTCCTCTACAGAATGTGTTATGGTCACTAAACCTGTCTTCTTGCTCTTCTTTAATCTCTACTTTAGTTCTCTCTATTTGGTGACTGACTTCTAGTTCTGCAGAAGAACAAAACCAAGAAAACACCTACACAAATCTATATGATCTATAACCTAAGTGCAGGGAGGTCAAAGAGACCTTTACAACAATAGCTGAAAATGGACCATAGCAGAGACAGATAGATGTGCCTGAAGCGGGAAGGCATTACCTGGCACTGGTGTGAGCTTTACATCACTGCGTGACAGTTCCAGTTGTTGCCTTGCTGAACTGCCCTCTTTTTCCTCCCTTTAATGGAACAAGATGGTGGGCCATATTGCCTCCCTGCTTTTAAGCACAGAATGGCCGAAAGTAGCACAAGCACCAGCTAAATCTTAAGTGATACATGTGAAGCGTGGAGGAGAACTAAAGTATTTCTGTGCCTGCTGCTTCCTGAGATGCCACTTGCAGTGAACCTGGCGCGGCTGGACCTGCCCCGGGCTCTGGACACAGGAGGGGAATGATCACCTACTAGCACAATTCTTAGTAGAAGGGAATTGAAGAAGTTAGGGGCAGACATGACTCTCCAGTGAGTTTTACTGACCAAGAATAACTTGAGAGAGCTAATAGTCTGTAGATAGAGATGGGAATTTTCTTGGAATCCGTAGGGATTTGAGTGCTTCACATTTTGTGTCCCTGCTTTGCTCTGTGAGACCCTGATCAGAAGGGTTAGTGAACCAGGAACTCGGTATGGAGAAATTTTTCTCTTTATATAAAAAGATCATCATAGAGGAAAGCATGAATTAGCCCCTTGGATCAGTTCTTCAAAAAGCAGTGACAAAGCTCTGATAACTGCGTTCCTTGGAAAGTAAGGAACAACCTGCTGTTGTGTAAACCACTGACATGGAAAGAGGCTCATCCTGCAGGCAGGGTGGGGGTGGCAGATAGCAGAGGTCTAATTTTGGAACAAATTAGATGTGAAGAGTGGATGGTTCAGGATATTGAGATGGGACCTTCTTCAGTGAAATCACAAGTGTGAATTCCAGCCCAGCTCAGTAATTACTGATAATGGTTTGGTGATCCCCATGGAATGTGCCTCCATCCAGTTACTAGCTGAGAGATACTCAAATCATATAAAAGCTCACTGGTAACCATGGCTGTCCAGTGTCTAGAAGGAAAAGGATTGTTTTGCGTGACCCAAGAGTGCCAGCTGCAAAGGCATCAGGAAAAGGAGCATGGCTATTTGGAAAATGGTTTGGTGACAACATTGTCTGGGCCTTGTTGTCTGCTGTGGTGGCTGCAGTTGTGGGCCTACTCGAAAGTGAATATTAAACTGTTTTGCTATTGTTGGGGCATGGTCTTATGGCCATTTCAAGCTACTGTGAGAAATATGCTCCTCTCACAAGACTGTTCTGTTTTGTGAACCCGGGAGGTTGTGCGCCTGCCCTGTGGTCTGAATCAGTTCAGTGATCTGACTGAAAATTGACCCTACTGAAAAATGAATAAATTTATTATCAGTAGGATTGATGAGCTGATCTGACTGGCAGCCCTACTGAGTGGCTGTGGGTGCTGGGTCGAGGTAGGTGCTGGGAGTGTCTGGCTGGACAGATCATGAGCTCTTGTTACTCCCTTGAATGGATCGGTACTTTCAGCTTACTGAAGAGGTAGCTGCTGACAGCGTGTAGGTCATGCGCCTGCCTGCTATCTCTTGACTTCTTCAGAGTATTAGCATGCTGATAAAATCTCTCACATCGACATCCAGGGCCTTTCCCTCCAGGAGAGACAGATGTATACTTTTTTTTTTTGTCAGAAACTTGCTGTTTATTTCTTGGCAGAATCTTCACCTTCAAATAATTATTTAACTGGGGATTGTGGTTCAAAAACCCAGATCTGCTATATCTACTGGATCTTTCACTTTGGCATTTGTCAAATTCAAAGGAGTAAAGGCACATTATTTACCTTTACAAAGCTGCACGGCTTTGTTCTGCATGAATAATACTGTTTCAGATACTTGCTAGTCTTTTCTTTTAACTGGTCTCAGTGTCCAGCTTCTTGACTGAAATAAATCTCTACGAATTGTAATCCTTGAATTGCACTTGTTTGTTCTGTGGTGTCTATATCTTCATACCATTCACTTGCTGTGGCACAGGAGATCCAAATGAGGTCAGTGTTCCAGACCTCACTGCTTTGTTTTTAAGCTTTTTTTCAGAACTGCTAAGGTCCTTAAACTGCCTCTTCCTTAGAGACTTCTCTATCTGCAAGCAGTTTCTTGATTTCCCATGAGAGAGTATCCCTTGATGAGGAATTTACCATTATTCTCCTCAGGGTAATGAAGCAAAGCACTTCTGTGCAGACCCCTCAATAGACTTGTCGTCTGTCCTGCTTCGTTTAAGAAAAAATTCTTCACATCCTTGTATTCATTTTCAGAAATATCTCTTGAATAATCTTAATGTTTCTCCTATGTTTTTTAAATCATTTCCTTGACATAATTTGTTCTAAATGTCTACTTTCTAACTTTCCTTTTGGGTGCTAGAACTTGCTGTTTTTCACCCTTGAATTGTGCTGCTTTCTTTTCTCACATACCTTCCGATACAGTGGTCTTACTGGATCTCAGAAGAAGCAGCTGTTGATTATTAGCTGAGGAGGACATCCACCAGCGAGGGCGCAGGGTGCTGCCCATGGTCTCTGGGATTCACATGGTGGTAGTTTTCGTAGAATTGGTAGAGAACCTGTTCTCCTGCATGAAAAAAAAGGAGACTACTGTGGTGATAGAGAACATCCTTGTGGAACGCAGAAAACCGAGTTCATCAGCGATTGTGTTTTAAGGATATCTGTAGACTTTTCATGCTATGTTTTCCTTGCATAGTATTTATTTGCTTTGACGTGGAGGTTGCTAGATTCAGAGTGACTCTCTCAAGACATGGCCTACTCATGAAAAAGTATTGCTGTGATGGTGTTGTGATACCTCTGTCCTGATAGCTGTATGCTAGTGTAGAAGTTTGCATTGTTCTTTGTATTTCTGTTTTCTAAATGTCTCAACTCGCAAAACTTCAGACAGGAAAAAAACCACCTCGGTGTAGGCAAGGCTAAAACCTTGCACGTTCCCATTCCTTAAAAACAAAAAGTCTGCCCTTCTAAAGGAGTTGGAAGATGACGACTCTGGCTTCCTTGCCCATTCTTCAGGCCCAGAGTGAGTTTTCAGGCAGTTGCCTCCTAGTCAGTGTGTGAGACTGTTCTCTTCCAGATCTCTTCTGCAGGAGGGCAAAGACTCAGGGGAGTGATGACATGACAGCAGTCGCAGGCTGCTGCAAAAGCACGCGGTCTCTCTTTCTCTCTCTTTTTTTTCTTTTCCGTGACCTTCTCAACTGCGGCATTTGTCCTGCTGGCCGAAATCAGAAAGGGATCTTATTTGGGTTTCCTGCTAGATTTGAACATGCACTGTTTCAGGATGGCTGTGTCTTCATTATTTTTACTCTTATCATGAAAGAGTCTGTACTGGATGTTTTCAACCACAATTGACCTTCAGTGAGATACGGATCTTGAGAGTGAACTAACAAAGACTGGGGGAAGATACTGGGCTATCAAAAATGTGCTTTTCCTGTAGCCTGCAGCTTTTAAGATTCCCATCGCTAAAATTTTAACAGGATGGCTCTAACTGTACGTTAATCCTGATGGATGAAGAAAATCTGCCCTCTGGCATGGTGAAGGAGCCATGTTGTTGTTTTTTGTTAAACTCTTCTCAGGGGGTTGAATAGATTTGCTTATGAGAGACAGGTACTGGACTGTATCGAGTGATTTCTGTGTGGGGTGCTCCATGTGGTGATACGTTTCCAATATGCTCAGGGTTTTTTTTTTCTACTAATGAAAATGGCGTTGCTGTCTTTAGCAGACTAATAGCAACCGCTGCTCCCAAGTCACAGTGTCAGGATTTGGAGCTGGGAGTGGCAAGGTAGATATTACACACTGGACTGTTCCAAAGAGTTTAGAAAGATTTTGTAATTATACCTCACCACCCTCACTTTCTTTTAAATTCTGTAATACAGCAAGTTACTTTTTGGCAAGGAAAGAAATTGTGTATAATTATCCTTCCTGTACAAGTGGATGACTGTGGGGAAAGTTAAGTGATTTGCCCAGAACCACAGAGCAGTGAACTGCTATAGAAAAAAAGGTATTTCTAGCTCTCTGTCCTGTGGTCAAGCCCGTGCTGCTCCTGCTCCTCACTGAGTTATATCACTGACTGTTCTGTGTAAGCTGGTTTATTTGCTTTGAGGTAGTGCAAAAAGACTTTCACCCCTTTCTAAGTCATATGGGAGACCAGACTGGATAACTGCTCTGAAACTGCAGTTCTGGTGTTGGCTGGTGCATTGACTCAGAAGGAGGAACCACAGTTGCACTTAGCAGGAGCTCTTTTCCATGGAGAGACTTTATAGCCAAAAACCTCCATATCGGTGGAACCCTGGTAATACAGTGCTTAAAATACACTTCTCAGCAGAGTGAATGCAGATTATGCTTACATAGGGCCTCAGCTCACAGCATAGTAACTCTCAGTCAGATACTATTTTCAATAAAATGGATAAATAAAAATCATGGCATGTTGCATTAGGACAAAAGAAAACACAAAACTGAACCCTCCTCACGTGGACGTTACCCTTCCATTACTGAGTCCCTTGACTTTTTTTTTTTTTAATTAGCAGCAGTAGCAGACACTTGTTGTCTTTTGAAAGCAGTCCGCTCCTAATCTGATGGTGCAACAGGACTGTAATCCCCCAGCGCTCCGGAACAGACGGATAGACTTCAGGTTAACAGCAAGCCCTGTCCCCAAAGGTCAGGTTAGGCAAGGCATCGCGTAACTGCCCGGCTTGCAGAGAACAGGCCACAGGGCGCTTGTTTGGTGATGGTTCATTTTGAGGTTAGATTCAGATTATTTTCTGTCTGTCTGTACCCAGGTGTGGCTGGCACAGCAGAGCCTGTCTTGTGCAGACAGCCGGTGGCAGGGAAGCGGTGGCAGCTGGCAGAGCGGAATTGCCGTGTCCCCCCCTCCTCCGTGTGCTTGCTTGCGATGGGAGCAGTCCCCCAGTATGCTGTGGTGTTGCACTCCCCGCCTGCCTTTTGTTTCCCGAGATTAGAGCAAGAGACAAAAAGTGGAGATCTCCCTTGAAGGCTGTTTTCTCTTAGCAGCAGAGCATTACTTGGAGTCAATTATTCACACTTCCATAACGTGATCTCCCTTTCTTTCTTTGGGCCTTATCTACGCTTGTGATTTGCCCCAGTTACAGCCATTAGTTACTGTTCAGCAGAGCCACCGCATCGGAAGACAGAAACATAATTTTCTTTGTGCAGATTTTTATCAGTTTCTGTTAATGACACTGTACTGGTAGCGTAGGGATGGGTATCTGCTTTCGCCTTCTGTTTTAGCACTGGCATCTTCTCCCATCTAGACCGGGCTTTTGAGCTTCAGCCAACTGTGAAATAGCTCACCGAGGCAGTGTGGCTTAGAGGAGGGACTCCAGCCCTGAATCCAAGAGCCTGGATTCTAATTCCTGGTTTTGCCCCAGATTTGATGTGTGACAATGAGCAAATCGTGCTTTCTCCCAAGCATCTGTTTCCTCAGCTGTAAAAATGGGAAAATGACATAAGCTGATTATGTAGCCCTTTGAGGTGGGTAAGTGTGCTGGCTACTGTCTTCAAGGGAAAAAACAGTGTTAAACAGAAGTTGAATACCTAGTGGTTTTTAAATGTTCTGGTTAAGGTGTTTTCTGATCATGTTTCTTTTTCTAAGAGAAGCGTGGGGGTGTATTAGCACAGACCAGAGGGGAGGAGCTGCTTTGGAGTGTTGCATGCCACCACCTCAGCACACAAAATAAACTGTGCTGTACTTCTTCATGGTGAAGCTTTTTTTGGAGGGATGCAGGGAAGAAATTAGCCTGTGCTGTGGATGGGGTTGGATTTGGCTGCCACCAGCCTTGCTGGTAGCTGGTATTTTTTGTGACTGCCATCTTTTCACAGGCAGTTCAGCTTAAATGTGCCTTTCAGGAGTAATTTTGTGGCCATTTTGGTTCTGAGGGAAAACGCAGACGTGACTGAGGGAGTAGACTGGACAGAGATGCTTGAGTTTTGAAGGCACTGTAGCAACGTTTGCCCTGAGCAGTATAAAGTGGCCGACTCGTATCTCTTGGGCACGAACACGCAGAGGTGCAGCTGGGCTTGCAGAGTTTTCATTTGGAACTGCCAAGCTAAGCAGCTAGGCTGGCTGCCCTCGGACAGCTACTCCGCCGCTGCCTGCTGCGTCTTTGTTACCCAGCTGAGAAATACCGCGTGTGTTTTGTGAGAAGGTGGTATAGAGTATGCAAGAGTCAAGGAGCTTCGCTGTGATAAGGATGAATTTGCCAGCTTGGAACTGGGCTTCAGAATTTGTTTTGAATCTCGCTGTTAAACAACCGGATGTTGAGTTTTTTCTTTAATGTCCTTTTAATCCTTCCTTAAGCATGATTCACATTGTCCTAATCCAAAGCTACTGCATTGCAAAGTACAAAAGCTGTGAAAGGAACTTTTCATTAATTGTTCGCTCACTTTTTCTGTATGGCTTCTGTTTCCTTTGCAGAGTGTTTTTGTTTGCAGCTTGATCTCATAACCATTTCAGCCACTGTGAAAATCCACGTTGACTTAACTGGGTGTTGCCAGTGTTAACTGTATTTTCCACAGAAATTCCTGTTTTTTTTGGAAATTGTGTCTAATAAATAAGAAAAAATGTGTGCTTTAGGGAACCTTAGCCACTAGTTTTCTGCATTGCTTTCACTGCTCGATTGAACAGAGTTGTGCAACAGTTGGGATTTTTAGGGGGAAACTTAGTAGAAGACTAAGATTGATAGTTCTTTAGACTCAGAAACTTGCCTTTAAATTTTCCTGGGAAGTACCTAGAATGTATCAGGGAGGGCATTAAGAAAAACAGTATCATGTAACTCTTGACAGTCCTCGCATTTCTCGGTGTGTTTAGGCCTCTTGTCTGTAAAATAAGCGTAATTGTAGTCCTCTGTCTCAGAAGAGCAATGAGTATTCATGCAGTAACAAGTGAGGGTTCTTGTTCTACCAACAGTTGCTCGCAAACAGTCCTGAGAAGTTGATTTTGTGCTGTGTAGGGTTCCTGGAAGAATGATGATGTACAGCATTTTAACGTGCTTTCTCCCATCGTTTTTCCCCTCCTCCTTCTGTGCTAAGTCTCCACTTAAAGCAGAAGGGCTGCCGAATCTGGTCTTTCTTTGGATTTGTGGGAAAATTAATTGTGTGTGACTTAAGAGCTCTGCCTACTCTTAATTGAAGGCATAGAGGACTGAAGCTTTGAAGAAAGCATAATTTTTCCCTAAATGTTTCCCAGTCATTTGAACTGAGTAGATGTTAATGAAAACCAGCATTAAAACAAACAAATAACCCCCACAAATTAAAAATCAGCTGAATAGAGCCCATTCCCATCACATACTTACTGGGTATTACCCAGTGCGCTTTTAAATAGGCAGCGCCTGGCCCCAGTGGTAGAGAGGTGTTTAAGCTATGAATGACATCGTGTAAAATTTCAGCATTCTTTTTCTAACTTTCAGATGCAAAAAGAAAACGCAGCACAGACAGCTATTCGTCAGATTCGTGGTTAGACATGGATGAAGAATCTTGTGATGCTCATATCCAGGAGGAGAAGGATGACGGCTTGGGTAAGAACTCCAGATCCTTGGTGGATGGCTCCTCCTCACCCAACAGCACGCACTCGGAAGGGAAGGAGGGTGCAGGCAGAAAACAAAAAGCCACGGTAATGAGATACCTGAAAAGAACTTTGTCTAATGAGTCAGATGACAGCGGAAAATCAACGACCCCCACGGACTATCCCAAAACGCCAACGGGGTCTCCAGCTACAGAAGTTTCAACCAAATGGACTCACCTCACAGAATTTGAACTGAAGGGTTTAAAAGCCCTGGTGGAAAAGCTTGAATCTCTCCCAGAGAACAAGAAATGTGTTCCAGAAGGCATCGAAGATCCACAGGCTCTCCTAGAAGACATGAAGGTGGGTGTGATAGCTTGCTGACCCACACACACTGTATTCTGTGGGCATCGAAGGCAGCGGGAGATCAGAAAGCAAACTTCGGCAGCAGAGCCATGGCAGCTTCTGTGTAGTGGCCAGCTCATACCAGCCTGCTGTGCCAAGGAGGGGGAAATTATGCCTCTAACAAAAGCCATCTCTGCTCCGGGGAGGTGGCTGCAGTCTGATTTAATTGGTGCAGTCCTTGCTGACTGTTGCAGCAGTGGCCAACGGTTTAGATCCTCTCATAGTTCAGCACTTGTCACGTCCCATGTGTAAATTATTATACCTCCGACGGTCTGTTTATACTTATAGTCTTAATCTGCCCTTTTCGGTCTAGTGTCTTGGTGGAGTATGTCTGATTAACTGACATACAAAATGTAAATACTTGACTGTAATTCAGAAGATATATTTTCAAATGTTTTCAGTTGCTTTTTTTCTTTCACCTTTTTCATTTTCTTTTCCTCCATTGCCCTCTATAGGTTGATAATTATTCTCCACTGGTACTATATACTGTTTCTGGAGGTGGTGAGAGGATTGAATGCTCACTAGGGACAGAACTTCTCTTTAGGTGTTCCGTAACCTGGCAGTGGCACCCCATCTGATTTGGGGAGAAATTTCTCCTGAAGGCTAGCATGGCCTTGCTTCTGGTCCCAGCCCTGCCTCTGATGCGTGGCATCCCTTTGGACTGCTTGGTTAGCTTTTCTGTGTCTTGCTTTCATATTAGATAAAATAGGCTTCTTTTTTTTTTTAACAAAGCTGAGAGCAGCATACGCTTATGGTTTTGCTGGGGCTTGTCAAATAAGGCTGAAATTGTCAGACTTGTCCACAGGCCCAGTACCATGGCAATTTGGCCTTATTTGGAACCATGAGTATTGATTCCTGATCTTGTGATTGGACTGCGGGTTTTGTGCTGTTTCTGTGTACAGTATGGTTCTTCAGCTATGTATGTTCTGTATGCAAGAGCTGTGTAAGCCACAACTTGAGGGGAAAAATACGTGTTTATATGGTACAAGGGGAGCCTGTACTTTTTTAGTGCAGGTAGTGTAACAGCTGCTTAGAAAAGGCTTCAAAGCCGGTTAAAGAAGGCTGAACATATGCCGTGTGCAGTGGAACCATATTCCACAGTCTTGGAGCCTGGAAGTGTGATCTGTGGCACTCATTTTGGTAAACCACAAGAGCTCAGATTTCTTGCAAAATCGGCCACTCTGTATATGAAAGTGGACACACATCCCCGAAGTCGGGGCTGCAGGTTCACCGGCTTGCTTTGTGATCGGTCGTCTGCTAATGAGAAATCAAAATGAAGCTTCCAGACCAGGAACTGAATTTGTGGTGAAGAAGAAAGAATAGTAGCATTACTTTTCCAAGCTTGATGCACAGACCAAGTTTTACTTAAACTGCCCTTTCTAGAAATCCCAGAAAAGGGTACAATGTGTAAGAAATGGTGCAGATGTTCAGAATATGATCATGCATGCTCTTTTGATGACATACTCCAGTGCACTGAGACATCTTACCAGAGCACGGCAAGAAACCACATGTGAATCTGTTTTAAAGGACCATGTAGGAGTGTATGTTTTCTTATTCCTCTCTAGAGCAGTGGATTCACTAGCTACAGAGATAGAGAACTGCAAACGGATACTTAAGAAAAAGGCCCAAGCCATGCACTCTTTGGTGGTATTGTGCCTTAACTGCTATTAAGTGGGCATCTGCCACTTTTTGTGCATCAGGGCTGCAGTCTTGAAGTTCCATCTCCTTTGATAACTGTCTGCTTCTGAACTCTCTCCCCTTGCCAGCACACACTGTAACCATCAGGATGTAGCCCAACATCTGGATATTTATGGTTCCCTGCTGGTGAAAAAGCCATGACCGCATCTAAACATCATGCATGCTGCAGAATTGTTTTCTCTGGAATCACCTCTGTATGTTTGGTGAGACTGTGGCTGATTAGACAGAGCAAGACCTTTTAAAAGGATGTGAACTCAAACAATTTCTTGAATAACGTCAAAACAACTTACCCATCTTTTTTACAGTGTTGGCCCACAGATAAGGCAGCCCTCAATTTTCAGAGAATGGGAGTCAGTACAGCATGGTAAATTAATTAAGCCCCGCATAGCCTGCTTCCTCCAGAACTCCCTACGGTTGCATCATCCGCTTGCTAGGTGCTCTGGAGGAATTGGGGCAGTTGTGGGAAGCTGCACTCAGATCAGCAGTTGTTCAAGTACACTTCGTCTCAGGTCAGGTGCGGAGCCCAGGACTCCGAACGCAGGCCTTCCCTTTGCTCACCAGCAGACTGTCCGAGGCAGCCGCTGACAAGGTGTGTCCCATTCCCATCGAGTTCTGGGACCCTGGATGCAACAGCCCATTACTCCTTTCTGCCACCCTGTTCGTTGACATGGTAGAGAACAGTACGATGGGGCTATCTCCTTGTAACCCGTGCCATACCGAAGCATGAAGTTTGTTTTATTCAGCTTGTTGGCTTTAAAAAAAAAAAAAAATCAGAAACAAGTGTATCAGTGCATCTTTAGGGCATCTGCCCTCAAAGGACACAGTATGCTGCTGGAAAAGTTGCCGAGTGACGGATTTCAGCCCCTTGAGCATACATCGAGCGTAATGGTCCTCGCAGGATTCCTGTATTGCTTGGTGTGCGGAATGCAGCTGCTCAGTATTTTGTTCATCCTCGCTCCTCAGTGCCTGTTAGGTCGGTCGTACTGTGCAGACCCTCAGCTGAACACAGCCATGCGACTGTTCCCTTGGGGCTCCCAGTGAGCCCATCGCTACCATAGCCGTGTGCTTCGATTTGAGAATTGATGAGCGGTTGCTATCTCTGGTTCACAGGTAAGGAACTAGGGCGCAAAGAGATTAAAATAAAAGGGACCGTAATTTTGGATGCTGGTTTTATGTGCTGTGGATGTGATTTCCAGAAAAATTAGCGTTATTTAAGAATGATACCTGTGAAACATAATTTGAATGATATTGAAACCGTAATTGCTTAACACTTCTGCAGACCAGAAGTTCTGATCTTGAGCATCCAGATCCCAAGACAGGTGTGAGGAAGAGGAGGAACATTCGGTTCGTGACTGCCTGTGGAAACCTGATTTAAAAAATTTGCCCTGTGTCACACAGAGACATAATGGCAGAGGAAGAAATACCGTCCACTTTTCCAGAATGGTATTTATTTCCTTGACCACTAAAACATATTTCCTCTTGTTTTGCTACTAGTTTTCCAATTTGTGCAGAAAATAACGTGGGGATTTTTCTGATAGCGTTAGCAGTAGAGTGAGCAGAAGCCTGGTGCCTTTCCCTCACCCCAATGACTGCCCAGAGCACCATTCATCTGTGTGCCTGAATGGAGGCCTGCAAAAAAAGCTGTGCAGATTGTGCGTGCTGTGACTGTATTCGGCTGTAATCACAAGGTTTGTTTCATGGGCAACCTTTTTGGGCATGTGATGTATTAATAATACAGCCTATAAAAAGTACCCTTTTAGCGCACCCATGTTAGAGTTATTTTTAACAGACACGTAGCAAGAACAAGCTCTGACAGAAAGTGAAGTTTCACAGAACAAACCAGGGTAACTCGCAGAGAATCCATGCTTTCCCATCTGAGCAAGAATACAGTAAAGGATGGGCGACTGGATTACTGCTCTTGGTGGTAAATACAACTACAGCTATTTAATGTCAGGTAGGTGAGACTTTCTGAAGTAAAGTAATTTATTTTCCTTATGAGAAGGGAGACTGAAAACTAAACTAAGCCTGTGTAAATTCCTTACATGTCATCTAAACTCCTAACGGCAACTGTCTAGTGGGGACCCAGCAATCCAGAAGTGCCAAGCTAATGCCTCTGCAGATTGAGAACCCATTTATCACCATGATCGATGGAGCGCAGCAGCACAAGGGAGGCCTATTTGCAGAGCATAACATGGACCTCACTTGGGGAGTGGGTCAGTTCTTCCCGCAGCTCAAACAAGGAATTAGATTCTTGTCGGCTGCAGCTCTGCTGTATGAGCACTGTGTTGCATGAGCCCTGTGTTCACCACCAAAGGAGCTTCTTGGAGGCCTCCAAACAGCCATCACTGACAGCAATGTTCGCTCCATAGCAGATGGCGTCTGAACAACCGGCCGAGGAGATGCAAGACTCTCTGGATCCAAGTGTCTGCGGCTGGGCTCTGTGAGCTGTACGTGTGGCAAGTGCAAGGGGAAATCGTTGTACAGATAAACATGTGCTCAGATGACCCAAGGTGCCGGAGGACAGAGGCTTGGCAGTGTCCCTGTTGGCAGGGTGAGCAGTCAGAAGATGCTGCAGCCGCTGCCCCCACATCCTTGCTGTTGGTGTTAGTGTTGGAGGCACGCGCCTTGTTTTCCATATATACATGCCCTGAAACGAAATATGAAACAGTGCAACAACTCCTGCTCCCAATTTAAAAATTAAGTGGCAGCTGAGCTGTTAGAAAAGTGCCTACAGTGACGACGAAGAGAAGGAGGAAAAAAATCACTGAGAAGTAATTTTACTTAGATGGTGACGTTGGGGATTGGAAGAGTTTCATCGTGTGGCTTCTCCACTTCACATTTAGCTACCAAACAGTAAGTCAGTCTACTAGGGATGCAACTGGGGTGGACTTACGCATGAAGAAGAGAATAAAGAGGAAACCATCTTACTCCTTGGTGTAGTTTGCATCCCACATCAGAGGACAGGTGAAGCTGAGCAGACCTTTGATTGGGACGGTCTGCATTCCACGTTGAACACTGTGCCAGCGGCGCTTGGCTGTGCGCAGCCTCTGATTTCAGCACACAACATTTCTGTTGTGTTACCAGCAGGATGGCAATTCCTCTGCTGCTGTTGGGGAAGAGGACAGTGAGATCTGCCTCGTAATAATGCCACAGACCTCCCCCCTTCAAAGCAAAAATGCTGCTGCTCTTCAGAAGGGACTGTGGAAGTCCATTAGGGCAGAAGAAACTCAGTTTGAAGAAAAGAATTTGTCAAATATCCGCAGCTCCTTGGCAGCAGGAAAAGATTCTTGTGCAAGACAGATGATGTCTACTGAAATATGTTCTTACTTTTTCTTGCCAAGAAATCTTACCCCCTTCTCATTCTGATGACAGGAAAAAAAATGCCTCTACTGAATGCATTTCAGGGGATTCGTTCCTTGCTGTGCTTTTGAAATTAATGGCTAAGCTGAATTCTTAAATACTTAATCAGTTTCTTTCCTTCATACCTGCTGTTGTCACCACAGCCTTCAAGTGTAATGAATCAAGCAGCCTTTTGCCGGATGAGCATCGTGGTGTTTGTCTAACTGGAGCCCCATGGCTTTATCATCTTTTTTTATTTTAAGCAGGTGAACAAAAGTTTGCCTCCTCCAGCCTGTTGTGTGCTGACTTGATGCTACAGTCAGTGCAAATGTGGCTTGGTTATGGTTCTGCTGCTCAGACATCCAGGGTTTTCAGCTGGCTGAGGTGATAAACTGCCATAGTTTTACACTTCTTCTTGGGTAATATTTTCACATGATACATAGGATAACAAGAAACCTTCGTTATCCTGCCAAGTTCTAGGAGTATACTCTGCTTTCTATTGAACTCTGAGTCTCTGACAGCTGTTAGTGGAAATGTTAAGATTTTCTGTCTTACAAGCTTTCAAATCTAAGAGTAGCAAAGTAAAGAGGAATTAATTTATACTCTGTTTGTATGGCTCTCAAGCTGCTGCCTTGTTCTGGAAAATTTTGGCTTTGCTATGAGAACACAAAAGACCTCTCCATTTTTAGGATTGAAAACTAAATTTCAGAATGCGGTCACAGTTCGGTTAATGCAGCGATCACTGTCTCAGCATAAAAAGGACATGAGGAGAGAGCTTCTCACTTAGCCTCAGCTCAGCCAAGAGCTCATTTGCCAATGAGTAGTCCGTATGTAAAAGCTGTCAGCGGATTCGGGTGAAGCTACGCTACAGGCTCCACATCACCATCAGGCTGGGGCAAGCTGCGTTTCACTCCTAACCAGCCAGGCTGTGCCTGTGCCGAGCTCTTGAGTGCAGCCACAGCGCCGGGCTGACAAAACTGGGCTTTTACTGGTTTTGCTTATTTTGGTCATTGGCACTGCTTTCGGACTAACCAGTATTGAGAGCAGCCTTACTGGTGTAGTTGTATCTGAAGAAGCAGCACTGTGCTGGTGCCTATTAGTAAAGTCTCTCTCCTTCAGGCACGGACTGGGGAATTGGGCTGGATCAGGCAGATTGCCTGAGCTCCAGGGAGGGAAAGCCAGCCCCAGGGCCACTCGTCCAAACCCTAGTTTAGCTGCTAGTCTGCCCGCTCAAGCTCTTGGGGCCTGGAACATGCCATCGTACTCCCAGTTTCAGCTGGACAATTACAGATGAATTCTAAGTGCGCTTTCTATTACAACAGTTACTGTATTTTAAGCTCTTTTTGTATAGTATGTGAAATATCTAATTATTAAAGCTCTACACTGGGGACTGAGAGAGCCTGGTGCCTGTTGTCTAATTAAGCTTTTCTTCAAGAAGTCGGTATACATGGGAGCAACACCGTTGAACTTCATTGTCTGGGGTTATCTCCTAAATTCTATTACAAAGTAATTTCCAACCTGCAGTTCTTGTTTGTTTTGTTGGAGCATTTTTTTCCCGTTAACCTGTTAGTGCTTATTTGAGCTTCATTTTTCAGCAGCACTGCAGAATCCTCCATCCGACTCGTTTCTTTGTTTTCATTTGTTTTGTTTTTCAGCCACCTGAACTCCCAGTGAAGAGCTTTGTAGCTAGGTTAGTGAGTACGCAGAGAGTCCTGGGAAGCGAGCGGGGACTGGTCCCGACTGCGCAACTGAGTATGCTTAGAAAGAGTTCTTCCCCACCTCTGTGCTGAGTTGTGCGGTCACAGGAGTGACTCACAGCAGTCGGAGCTGCGTATACCAGTGCAACCCACTCATGAGATATCTAGGACAGCGCATCAAAGCAAAACGATTTGGTGCGGGTGGAAGGGAGGGGAGACCAATCTTTTTCCTTAATACCATACTATCCGGAGTCAGGCCTTTTCCTAGTGAATACTCAGGAACCTGAATGCCTCACCCAGTCACGTGGAGTGAACTGGATTACACCAGCTCTGGCTTGCCCATCAATGTGGAAGGAAGGCCAGTGGAAATGATGATGCTCTTGAATTGTCACGTGCCTAAAGATGGAAGGTTATGATGCACACTTCTGTATCCTGAGTTACCTGAATGTTCGGGCATCCAAGGATTGCTCTAAACTGTACACTTGGTGCCCTGTGACTGCAGAAATCGTGGTGGCAGAGCCTAGATGCTTCTCGGGTCTTTTGTAGACCTCAGTAGGAGAAAAGGTGTTGGTTGTGGTGACTGGTGGAGGTTTGGGATTCGGTGAGCTGGAGTTTAAAGGGAGAGGCAATACTGGTGTGAGGCTCATACCAGTGGAAAAATACCAGTCTTTTTGGACACACCAATTTTAAAGAAGTCTGGAATATTTGAGGTGATTCATGGCTGATTTTGCTGTCTGTTTTGCAAGAAACTTCACATCTTGTGTCTTAATGACAGGTGTGAGAGTTTCAGTGTGAATGGGAAGTTTGGAAGCAAAAGCAACTTGCAGAGATAGAACAGGTCAGCAGAGATCTTGTCACTCCGTCATCACAGTGGAGTATTGTCTTCTCTGAGTCTCTGCATTCTGAAGTTGGAAAGATACTTCTCTGGTTAATAAAGGCTTTTTCATTTACAACAGAACATCCTGAAGGAGCATGCTGATGATGACCAAAATCTTGCCATTTCGGGTGTCCCTGTGGTCAGCTGGCCCAAGAAGACCGCAAAGGTAATGAGGACACAATTACTTACTAATCATTGTTGTGCTAGGTCTTGGTGATGGTTTATCTATAATCTGACAAAGTGCTGTGTGTGGTACTTTGGCAGCTCCTAGCATTTTGAACATGGAATGTGATTTTTTTAATGGTTTTATGCCTCAGCATGAAGAAATTGTTAGAGTTTTCATTTAACAAGAGTTTGTTTGTGCCTTACTTATCAGTATAAAATTTTGATATGTCTTGGTTGTTTACTAGTCGTGGTTAAATCTGAAAATACCGATGCAACATTTTGTGTAAAATTAAATGATGTGTAAATCCTACAAACTGGCCACTCAGTAAGTGCTCTCATCGGGACGAGAGGATGGGTTTTCTCTTATACTGTGAGACCTCCTGGATTCTCTGTACAGGTGTGCCACTGAAACTTTGGAGGGTTGTTTTCTGTCCCTCTGTCTTAATTTTTCCTCCCATATATGGGAGTAATTCTTTTCGCTTTGCAGGAGAACCGTGAGGCTTGCTTCATTAATGCTTGTAAAGAATTTGAAATAATTAACTAAAGAATACTATCAAAAGGCTGGATGTTATTTATAACAGTAGTACGTTTACCCCAGTCCAGTTATTCAGCATGCTGTAAAAGCAGCTTTGCTTATTTAGAAGATGTCGCATTGTTTCTGTTTTTACTTTCATTTTTCACTGAACTAGTTTTATAATACATAATTTTTTTAGAAATGCCAGAAGGGTCAGCTTAAATCAGGCTTCTATCTGAAAATCTGTTGCTGTTGGTGTTGTTTTTGTCAAATAATTAACGGAGTGAATTATTTCCCCTATTGTCACTTCTTGTGCTGGTGCACTTGTCGCGGCTTTGCTATAATCGCTTGGAGCCACGAGAGTTTGCTGTTTGCGAATGGGAAGCAGGAAACCATAACCATCAGACTGCCAGAGGAGAGTGGGGCAGAGCGAGCAGATCATCTTCCTCCATGGTGTCTTTTTGGGTTTTAGCTGAGCACATTTTGGAGAAGTTATAGCTTGTTAGATACTTGTGTCCCTTTTAGTTTGTAATAAAACCACGGGTATATGCTTTGTGTTTAAAAAATTGCTTTGTTTAAAAACAGCAGTGGAAAACCTTGAGAGGAATAGGTGTCGGATTCTCCACTGCACTGCTTTGATAGCTGCTGTTCATTCATCATTCAAGTATATCATAGAGCAAAATCTCTGTGCCCAGAAGAAAACCGGTGTGTGAAACGTATAAAACAAAACTAAGACACAACTGACTCTTGTGCTGTATCGTTTGAGCTTATGGTAGAAGTGAGGATCTTAATGTTTTGAGGCTTTTGTGAGCTTTGGTGTTTGCTAATGTTCTTGTTCATCTTGTTTTGGAATCCTTGATAAATGGTTCATTTCTTATATTTTATTTCTGTGCATTGGCAACATAACTGTAACTGTAAAAGATCGATATTTTTTGTGACTTAAATCTTATCTCTCTTCGCAAAATCCATCTTGCGGGCTGTAAGGGTGGGGTTTTTTTTTTAACTTTCTGTTGCTTATTTTCCTTTAGCCTTTCTGTAAGCAAAAACTCTCAGAAGGCATCATTCCCAGCGCTAAGTTTGCTACAACAGCAAACAATTAAACACAGTGGCTAATAAGAAATATGAGGAAGGCTTTCACAGAAAGCCAGGCTTTAGATTGAAGTTTGGAAATAAACAAAAAATTATAACAGAAGAAATCCTTTCACCATTCTCTTCATATTTACTTTGCTTAATCTGTAATTGATTTGTATTATGCCTTATGTTAAAAGGTGCACATGCAGCTGTGGCTGAATGTTTCCCAAAAGGGGTTTGTTGTTGTGCTTCCGACTGGCAAATGTCCGTGCCATCTTACACGCTGTGTCCCTTGCCTGGGAACAGGGGCCAAGCGAACAGCCTCGTGACACACGTCTTAGCCTCTAAGTCCCAAACTGAAATATGTTGGAAACACAACATAGGGCAGATTTGTATAAAGGCAGCGTTACTAGTTAAGTTTGGTTATTTCGCCTTTGTTCCCTCTAAGTCCTGGTAATGAAATAGAAGATTTTACAGAGAAGAAAACCCGTAGGGAGGGGGAAGCTCCCTTTAAAACTGGATTGTAGCTGGTGGAGCAAGTCTCCATCGTCAGAAGTTTCCACGAATGTTAAGCACAAGGCAGGGGAGTAAAACCTACCAGTAATTTTGCTTTCTGTAGTATTGCTGTTGTAGTATGTAGGAGAAATGCCAAGTACCTCACAGTGCCTTTCCTGGGGTGCTGGTGTAGAAGGGAGTGGCAGACACAACGCAGCGTGGTACCAGCTATTGTGGGGCTGGTAAGAAGGCATTGTAGCTGCTGTATCGGGTTCCAGGGAGAAGAGGATTGTCTGATTCCAAGCCGATAAAGACAAAGAAGGGAACTGAAATCTAGAAAGAGGAGGCAATAAGTGGGAAACATGGCTCTTGCTTTCTCCCAAGAGAAGGTTCCAGAAGAGATTTAGAAAGACAAGAGCAGCAGATGGAGAAGGAAGAAGAAAGCCAGCATTAAATGCCAAAACATTTCAAAGAAAATGGAAATGATTGTAAAGAAAGGAGGGGAAGAGACTAGAAACGACGAGAGAGCAGGATGAGGAGAGAGGCAGGTACTAAAGAGGGACGGAGCAGGGAAGATGTGGAGGAGAGACCGGGAACTCTTCCTGAAGTGAAAGATCCCTGGAGGAGGGACAGGGAATGCCTTAAACTATGTGAATAACCCAAGTTGTGGAAGAGCTGGCTTAGCTACGTTGGCTTGCTTTTGAGAGAAAATTCATTTAATAATCTGCATGATTTTAGAAGCAGCAAATAATATTTCCCTTTAAAATGGAGTCATAGTTTCTTTTATGTGTTGTTAGTGTGACATGCCAACAGTGTGCGCAGCTCTGTACTGCAAAAAGGTCGCTTGAAGACTGTGAAATTCTGGAGTTTAGGGAAGAAACGTGTTAACGCGCACCCTAAATCACAGTGCACGGTGGATAAGGTGTAACGGGCAAGACATTTAACGAAGTACGTGGAAGACCCGTCGGTATGTTGTGGCCCCGTTGTGCTGCATTGCTCCCATCTCCCTTTTCTAAAGGCATTTGGAGCTGTTGGTTTTGCTGCAGCTCACTCTCAAAAAAACAATCACTCACTGAGTAAAGAAACAGAAGTAATGATCAAAAATGGTTTTGCAAGGAGCTAAAACAAATGGATGCTCTTGTGGGTGGTGTACAAAATGGGAGGCGAGGGTCTGGGTTCTGTTCCCAGCTCTGGTGCAGCCTTCTTGTGTTGCATGGGGTGAACAGCGCTTTGCCGCGTCCCGAGCTTTGCCGTGTTACGTGGAGATGGTGCTTCCCATCTCCTGGGAGGCTGTGAGGTGAAATTAGTGTTTGTAAAGATTTGTGACATCTTCATCAGAAAGTTGCGTAGCAAAATGTGTGAACCATTATTATTTTATGATAATGGAGAAATGGTGTGTGATTCATAGGCACCTCTTCCGGATCATATTTACTCATCTTTATGGAGCTTTTTTGACTCTCTTGTACTTTTTCTGATTTATTGATAATTACTTAGCACAATAATTATATTCCAGTTGGGGATGTTTTGCTTGGGGTTTTTTGCAGGTGCTCTTTCAGAAGCCACACAACCTGCCTTTTAGCTATAGGGTAAGAGAAGACAGTCTATTTTCAAAAGAAGTCTCCGTCTGATAATGATTCACTTACCAAAATGTGTGACTTCGCCGGGAATCCTAGGGATGTGTACAACCATCCTCATTTAGGCCCCTGCAAGGAATCAGGAATGTGGAACTGAGGGGATATTTGAAACCTGCTTGTTCTGATGGCTGACTGACAGTTCTCGTACCTTCAGCCTAAGCAGCACATTTTTCCCAGCTGGCTGCCGGGCACGGATGCAGCTGTGGGTATGTAAACCCCCTCCCTGTTCCCTTGTCAGGGGTTTGTGGAACAGCAAGTTGTCCTTGCTTGGTGCGGTGCTGAGTGTTATCGGTGGGTTTTGTCGCAGTGGTGGTCTGCTGTCAGAAAGGAAGAACTCCGTAGGTTGTGCTGCCTTGAAACTTCGGGTTCGGAAGGGCCTAAAGAGGAGTGAGAAATAATCCGAACAAACTAACTCCTTCCCCATCCCTGGGACATGCACTTCTGGGTGGCGTGGAGAGAGAGCAGGGCCTAAACCGGATCTTGCCCTGTGGCGACACATCGCTAGAGCCTGGTGCACAGAGCTGGCTCCCGTCAAGCCACGTCTCGAAGCCCGACAATACCAGCGCTCCCATTTTATCTGTACAGGGGTTAGGGGTAGCGTTTTATTTAAGGAACTCTGTGCGTGGCCCAAGCAGAAACCCGTGCATTTTCCAAACCATTTCCTATTTCTGGAAGACAACAGTCAACTACAGTAGCATGTAATTACACTCGGTGGCAGTGCCTTCTGTTTCTATTGTGATAAAGATCTTCAGCTGTCTATGAAGAGCAGCTATAAAGAACTGAAATATGTTTGGACTCTCTTGTTCCGTGAAGAGTTAGAAATGCAGACTGTGAGCCAGATTCTCATCTCTCTTACCTGGCACAAACCTGAAGCCACTGAATTTGTAATGATAGCAAGTGTCCAAGTATATATTGGTCTGGCTGCAAGCAGGAGATGAAGCTGTAATTTTCAGTAGCTGGTTAACAATGCTGCAACGTGTGGCTGCTTTTCTGATGCCTGTTTGCATGCTTTTTCCATTTAACTTTTACCTGTTGGTTTTAAGAGAAGATACTTGAAAAGTGTAATAAGTAAATGGTATTATTTAAAGGAGTACTATTAATTAGTAAGGGCCACAAACTGAAATTTTAATGGGATTATGGGGTTTTTTTTAAAAAAAACAACCTTCATGCAGTTGGCAATGCAAATAATGTTCATAGCTATGTACCAGTGCATGAGAACCAGGAAGAAAAAAAAAAAAAGAAAGGAAGATATCTCCAGCTGGGGTTTTTGCTGTTGTTTTTTGGGTT